GGGTTTTTTTAATTTTGAAGCAGTGTTGGAAAACAAAATGGTATGGACCGGTACATATTTTAAGAGTGTGTGTGTGTGTGTGTGTGTGTATATATGTATATGTCAGGGTTCGGCAACCTTTCAGAAGTGGTGTGCCGAGTCTTCATTTATTCACTCTGATTTAAGGTTTCGCGTGCCAGTGATACATTTTAACGTTTTTAGAAGGTCTCTTTCTATAAGTCTATAATATATAACTAAACTATTGTTTTATGTAAAGTAAATAAGGTTTTTAAAATGCTTAAGAAGCTTCATTTAAAATTAAATTAAAATGCAGAGCCCCCCAGAGCGGTGGCCAGGACCCGGGCAGTGTGAGTGCCACTGAAAATCAGCTCGCGTGCCGCCTTCGGCACGCGTGCCATAGGTTGCTTACCGCGTGTGTGTGTGTGTGTGTGTCTCTGTGTGTCTCTGTCTCAAAATATGTACCGGTCCATACCATTTTGTTTTCCAACGCTGCTTCAAATCTCTCTACTACTACAGCCTAGTGAAATAAGGTTTGACATAGGTTCCTCTCAAAGACTTTCAATGCTACTTCATGCTATTCTTCAGAGAGGGTTTCCAGAGAGTGGTGCAAGATTCTGTCTTCACCCTAGGTTTGAGGAAAATGTCATCATATTACTGCTATGCATTGCAACTTGGTACTTTACTTTGAATATTGCTGGCATTAAACTTTTGGGCCAGCTATTCAGAAAATGTTTAATTTAAAGTTGGAGTGAGCCCCCTGAAACTTTATGGTGATGGTAAAGAAACCACTGCTAAGAAAACCCTGTGCATAACACTGACATCTCTCATTCAACTATTATTTTAAGATCATCAGTTTTATTTTCAAACTGAAATGGTCACACGCAACTTGGTGGAGGGAGAGTCTGATGAGAGGTTAGATCAGAAGGCAGGACTTCCCTTTCTCCAAAAACAAATGCAGTTTAAATGTTGAGTTTGGTATCTTGGGATTTATAAACTAATAGTAACTGGAATTCTTGAGCTTCAAGAACTCAAGAACATTGTATCCAACTTTTGGTACAATGGCCAATGTCTCTTGCAGAAGAGCAATGTTGGAAAATTTAATTAGTACTCCTCAACCCTTCATCAGGGATTTTTACTGCTGGTTAAATCTCCCAACAGTACAGATCTGAAAAAGCAATTCACAGAAAAGATTTACTCATCTGTAATTAAAGTTACGAGTTGCCATGCAGAGTTATGCTTCCCTACCATGCTGCTTCTGAATCCTCTTTGTGATCCTTCTCATGTGTGGATGATGAGGACATAAGGGCAATCCCTTACATATCTCTGAACAGAAGCAAGGATGGGCAACCCCCAGAGCTTGCTGCTTTCTAAAGGGCTCTGAGCTCATGGCACTAAGGGCACGTGTGTGTCAGAAATACACATCAATGGAAGTATAATATGCGCATAAAACTGAATTATGCTTCGTTAGTGGCCAACGGCTACTAGAAACTGAATCCTTTCTTACAGTAAGCGAACCAGATATTGACTTTATTTTTTCCTCTATAGTTGGTCAAATAAAGTTTAATCCTCCATTAAGGAAGGAGACAGAGCCACATCATGAGTTTGTGAGTAACATGTTGCATGGGTTTTATGCCTCAGATTTTACATCCTGCAAATGAGAAAAAAGCTTGACTTGTGACATAGTCCCTTCTCTCTCCCCCCAAGCAATTTTATCAACGAGCTCCTCGCCCTGGAGTTCAGGTTCTTAGGAAGGGAGCGTGCCTGGAGCTGCACTTCTTTGGCATAAGAGCCTTGCAAGAGCAGAGCTGGCACACTTCTCTTGCAGTGCACTACAAGAGCTCCTCCTTCCTTCCCTCCCTTGATTGACCCTTTCCTCTGGTAAAGAGCCAGCTGGCTTTGGAGATGAGAGTTGGTGTGCACACTCTCTCTTCCACAGCAGCTGGCTTGGGCAGGCGGACTGCAGCCTGTAGTATCCCAACGGGACAGAGAGGAGTAGCTTATCTAACACAAACAAGAATTTATGCAACAACTTGAGAGAAATTATATACCCATTTACGTAGCTGCATAATCACATTACTTATTGCTATGCTGATTAGAGCATTATATATATCTATAATTAAACATATCGGAAAAACAGAGGATCAGCAATTCTAAAACTGGCAAGAAAAATATATGTTAAGAGCGAGTCTTACCAAAATCACCTTACAATGTCAGTACTCGTATTCCCTTTCTCTGTAGTCTGCTTCACTGTAATAAACATTGTGGAAACTATTCTGATTAGCACAATCTTTAGTTCTACACGCCTTTAAATATTTTCTCACTTTTGTGTTGTTCTTTTTGTTCTTTGAGAAGTTCTTGAATATGTGGCATGACAATTGCAAAATAGGTTTTAATGAAGAAACTGGAGCTTAAAATTGAAAAAGCAGCCCTTTTTAGATTGTACATTTTGTTTTAAAATTTCTGTGACTGGGTGTATGTCCCCGTCACCCAGCTGGACAGCTTTACAGGACAACAGTGTTTTTGAGGGGAAAGCTTTCTTCTGGGGCTTAAGGCACAGCCATAAGGAGCGTTTCTTTGGCAGATGTTCTTGGAAGGGAGGAGTTGAAGTTTGCACCACATTGAGTTGAAACACACAGAAGTATTGCCCTTTTGAATCTTAGTTGTCTCTCTGGCTGCAAGAAAGGATTAATTCCGCTGATAGGGAAAACCAACACAAAAAGTTCCCTTGCCAGAAGGGAGAACCAGAACTTTGTTCTGACTCTGTCAAAAAGACAGACAACCACTACCTAAGCCCCTGTGTTTATCTCCCTGCCCATGGGGAGGAGCTAGAACTGTTCATTTGGATATTTCTGAGGAGGGAAAGGGAGTGCTTAATTGCCTGCCTAGTATTGGGAAGCATGAAGGGCTGTACTTTGCTCTTAAGATAAAGGGATTTCTTTATTTAGGACATCTTAAGATACTTTTCCTTTAAAAGTTTTTCAGCACCTTATTCCTGAGGGCATGGCAGCAGCTTTCCTATAATACCCTACAAAATTATTTGAGCTCATGTTCAGTCTGACCGAAGGTGAAGAAAAAATGCATACCAGTGAAACAAAACCATTATTTTGATATTTATGAGGTTACTTTGAACTACATAGAAATGTAACGGTAATCTGGAAAAAAACATTTACACTTAAGTAGTTCCAATACTTTACAGGTACCTGCTTTTATTAAATTAAATATGAATGGCTTTAATGGCTGATTCATTAATATACTGCAAAGTGGAAAAGCCAGGTTGATTCTTGGAAGCTAGAGACTGGTTCCTTGTTAGAGGATGAGAGGATTGTGGAGGTGGTGTCAGACTCAAAGATTGAGGAAAGGAGTATTGTATCATTAAATTTAGATCATTCTGGTCAATGGAAGTCCGAGTACTAACTGGCTGCAAAAGAAGTCCTGTTCATTCTAAGACATATTTTGATGAAAGGTCTTGTAGGAAGAGAGATTGAGGGTAGAAGTTTGCAATAATCTCCAGTATTCTAACAGGTGACACACAATCCTGGAATGGGAGGGATTGAGAGATGGGAAAAAAATTGCTAATTGCTAATTTCAATTTATTAAGGTAGTTCTTTGGCTCTTTCTGCTTTTTTGCTGTTAAGTAATGTTTAAACTTTATACTAAATTAATTATGATGTAATATGAAATGTAAGTTTTGTCAGAAGCTGTTTAATATGGTTTAAGTTCGCATTTGCATTAACAAAATTGTGTTGGCAAGACAATTTCCCTTTGTGTATATCTGGCTTTCAGTCTCAAAGTAAATAACCTGAGTTTCTTGGTCTCTGTCTAATGAACAGCCCAACAGTAACGATTTTTTGGACAGTTCAGAAGAAATATACTACACTGCAAGATCTAACCTGGTATATTTCACCTTCTGATTTTCTTTGTCAACCTTGGTTTTGTTTTTATTTTTGTTTTTCAAAGCTAAAGTTTTGTTCAATTGCTGTACTTGCTTTTGCCTCTGTAGAACAGTTTTTCAGGCTAAGGGTTAAGTTGTATGAATATTTCTAATGAATGGAAGGAAAATATATATAAAATAGGTCAATATTATGCATTAACTGTAATGTCTTATACTTTTTTCACTATGTCTAGGAGATATTTCTTAGCATTTTTTGTTTGGCAGTTCCTTTAAACATCCATTTGAAAGATTAGAAAATGTGTGTGTTTTTAATGTTTTAATATCCAAAATGTAATTACAGTATAGAGTGAATACAAACATTAACGTGCATACTGACAAAACCATGAACATTCAAAGAGCTAGGTCAGAAATGTGATAGTCTCGGCATTTGGTACTGCCCTACTGTACCTGTTCTCTTTTCCAACCCTTCTCTGCTTTAGCAATGCAGTGTGAAAATCAAGCCAGCAAGCTTTACTCTGTTCTGCTCCTGGGTCTTCAAATGGCCAGAGACCCCTGTATCTGTTGTTGGTGATGGTTGCTAGTTATGTGTAAAGTAGTCAGAGCACAGTTTCATTTCTTCAGACTCTGTACTAAGTGGAACATGCTGTGCTACCAACTAAACTCAAGTCTTCTTTTGGTTTGTAAACTGAACGTTTCATGTGGAAGTCCATTGAGGAATAATAAATATGGAACAAAACGATGGCGTTTTACATCAGCTTCTCAGAAACTGTATCTGCCAATAGATAGCTACTGATCGCTTAAGCTGTACCGACTGTTTTGGAGGCAGTCCTGTGTAGATTTTCTCCTTATCACACACAAATGTCCTTTAACAACTTTCTTGGGACTACAGCTCCAGTTTCTCTGCCTCCAGCAGCATTGTCCTGCACTTCAGCTCTGCTTTTCTTTCAGCTACTGACTCTTCATTTTCTCACTTTTTTTTCTTGCCACTTTCATCTCTGCTGCATGCAGATGGTTCCTGCTGTCCTCGTGAGTGCGGTTCCAGCAGATCTTTCCATGGTCATTCCCAAAGGGACTCCTGCAGCCCCTCATAGATTGGCATAAGCCCATTACAGTAGCTGTTGCCCTCTAGCCCACTGAGTGTAACCTGGCCTAAGATGCACTTACAGCATGTATCCTGACCAGACCTCTCCTTTGGCATCTCCTCTGCCCCATGGTTTTAAACTTAGGACAATAGTGATTGCTACAATGAAGAAAGAAGGAAATAATGTTGGTTTTAAATAGGAGGGGGGTTTTCTAGGCTGTGAACACTTTCCAGACCTCTCCGCTTCATCTGCATCAGGCACTCTCCATTCTGCAATTCCACAGGCTCATTGTGAAACAGAGAGAAGTGCTCTGACTCAGTCACAGGATCCCAGTCACTTTGAGATTTGGTTTTGTTTGTTTTCTCACCTACCAAGGTTGTTCTTCTGGAAAGCCCAGAAACCGAAGGAAGTTTTTCTCTTGTCTTCTGCACGAGACCATGCTAATCACGCTCTCCGTCCTCTAGATCTGTTAGTCACAGCTGCAGACACTGTTCACTGGACAGTATATGGTTTCTTCAAGCCTTCATGAAGTGGGATTGAGTAGTCCTCTCATCAAGAGGCTTTGACTTCTCATTTCACTTGGGTTCGGAAATTGTTCCACTGTGGAACATATACCTGATGAGGGACAAGCCTTTGGCAAACCCATGAATCTTCAGGATCATAACCAAAACAAGCGTCAGAGGTTGGAGAGTCTCTATGGGGCATATAGATAATGACAGGGACTATAGTCCAAGTTGGAATTTCAGATCACCATCAAACTCTGTGGCACTCTGGTCACTGGATCTAACCATTCAGCAGCCTCTTCCCCCATCACTACACAGATTATATTTAAGAAGTTTGACATTTGAACTGTGGCCACTGGTAAAAATGGACAGGGGAAAAATTAAACCTGTCTCTGACGCTGCCATCTGGATCCTCTGGGAGATAGAAAAGGTTCAGTGGTTGACTTCTTAGTTATATCTAGGGAAATTTCAGCACCCAAAAAGACTGACTAGCAGATCCACCATCATTCATGGCAGATACCAAACTAACAAAAGGGTGCTATTGTAGTGCCTTCCACAAAGGGACATGTTTGCTTCACATCTAAACAAACTTTCGTTCTGTCTTGATCTAGGCACCCCATTGGGGACCTTGATCACCCCATTAAGAGGGTGGATGCGCTTTCTTCAATGGTCAACCCCTAAACCTCTATGATTCTATGATAAACACATGCCTTTTCTGCCAAAAAAAAAAAAATGCATATGTATTTGCCAAAAGGCCAAAGTCATCCTCATTCCCTGTCACTGTCCCATAAGGCCTTGTTTCCCTAGTTTGTATTCAACCTGTCCATATCAGAACCATGGCAACTCCCTCAAACAAGGAATCTTCTCCATCAGGACCCAGTTCTACCCCTGGACCCAGACAGCATGTGTGTAGCAGCTTGAGATCTACCTTTTAAAAAATTATTAGTGATTTTTGGGTGCTTCAGTTCTGGGTGCCCATCAAGACACATGATTGTCAGAAAGCGAGCGTACTTAGCACATTTTGAAAATCGGGTCCATCGTATGTGTTTCAAATTGGGCACCCAAATTCACTAGTCATTTTAGAAACTTCAGGCCTGGATGTTAACAAAATAATTCTTCAATCCTTTGGCTTCTCTTCTCATCTGATTGATGTTTTGCTTACATCCAAGGAGGACTCTACAAATCAGGCATATTGGAGCAATTGGCTGTTTCTTTAGTGGGTGCTATACCAGAAGTGTCCCTCCCCTTGAGGCACACCTCTCCTTCCTTTTGGAGTTTTTGTTTAGAGGACTGAGTTACAACACCCTTGAATGTCACATACCAACTCTCAGATCCTGACTAAACAATGACAACCTCATCCTGCATTCTCCCATCACTTGACTTTTTCCAGTGTGCTAAATGCTGTCAACCGCCAGTCAGAGCCAGTTAGCAGAATGGAACCTTAATTTCATTCTGAATGCTCTCAACAAATCTCCTTTCAAGCCTCTGGCAAAAGCTGCCTTCCATTATCTTTCTATTAAACCGATGTTCCTCATTGCTACCACCTTTGTTCAAAGAATTAATGAGTAGGGAGATCTCTTGTGTAAAGAACTCTTCCTCCTGTTTTTCACAGATAAGCAGTTCTTAGAACTGTTCCCACATCATTACTTAGGAAATTTCCTTCCCTTCCGTCTGAACACATCCTGCCCAAAGGAAATGAATTAGTATTCCCTAGATATTAGAGCTGTAAAATATTGCCCAAATGGAACAACTTTTTTTTCATAATGCCAAGATCCTTTGTTTTGTATGTGGTCCATCCTACTTTTTTGGAACCGGTTTCAAATTCCACATTTCCCCATAAGTCATAGCAGCTATTAAGGGATCCTGTATTCATTTCCAAAAGGCTCCCCATACAGGAATAAGTGCACTCACTACTTATTGTGGGCAGAGAAGGGACTGTCCATCATGTCAGGAAATCGCCACCCTGGGTTTCTCTCCATGCCTCCCTTAACACTGTAAGGGAATGCAGAGTCCCCTAAGAGTGCAGCTTTTGGTCACTGGATCCCGGAGAATGCGCTAAGCTAGTACCCTTCCTAATTATTAGGGGTTTTCTGATATATAGTTTGCTTGTTTCTGTTTGGAGGTTAGTATTCTTGTATTGGTCACTGTACCGTTATGACACTTTGGGGTTTACCAAGGGGTACAGGGTGAATCACTACTGCCTCCTTACAGCGCGAGGGAGCCTTGTCTGTGCTCCCTGGGGGAAACTCGCCCAAAACTACAGGTTGCTGCCTGCTGGCAACACAAGCATCCCACTCCAGGCTCTGCAAGTCCCGCTCTTTCACTCCGCAGGCTAGCAATTTGAATATCCCAGCCCTTATGTCATATAGAGAGACCAGTGTACAGTTTAAATTCCCCCATTCCTTTTCTTTCATTATAAATCAACAAGACTCTTCCCCCTAGAATAGCCACAATTTTTGTTTACATTACATTTCAAAAGTGAATTGGGAGGGGAGGTTCTTGAGATTGAACATTGATTGAAATATGAACATTATTCTTAAGATCCAATGGAATTAAGTAGGATGGGGGACTGAGTCCAAGGGATTTTTCTTTCTCGGCCAAAGAGAGTTAGATTTCTGAGACAGCCAATTCTGTTTCTGGCAGACCATTTAAAATATTGAATCCAGTAGCCAGTCACTGCAGAGGGATTACAATAGCTAATCAGAATGGATATATTTCTCTTCATTGTATGGGTTCTAAATAACAATAGTGATTGTGCCCCTCAGACAACCACAGACAGTGCAAGAAAGCGCAGAACAAGGGGGGAGGGAAAACTGCGGATATGCAACAATAATTTACAAAATTCCTGCATGCTTATTCGCTAAGACTGTTTTATTTGGATGTTTACTAAAATCCCAGAAGACTTAATTCTCTTTTTTTTGTAAAACTACCAACATTATCTAAAAAGTTGAACACATTTTTAATAAAATAAGGACAAAGGAATTTGGTGTATGACTTAAGTGTTATTCAGTAAGCATTCTCCTTTATGGGTGAATGAAATGCTAAGAATCATTAGTCATCCCTTCCACTGGGAGACTGGAAAAATGGTGATACTATATTAATGGAAGATGTACACGATCATATGATTAACCATCTTTGAACAACTAAGGTACATTTGTATTGTCAACTGATCAGGAGTTACCTTATCAGCAGCTAGTAGCATTTAATATCGAAGTGTTATACACCTCTACCCCGATATAACGCAACCCGATATAACACAAATTTGGATATAACGCGGTAAAGCAGTGCTCCAGAGGGGCGAGGCTATGCACTCCGGCGGATCAAAGCAAGTTCAATATAATACGGTTTCACCTATAACGCGGTAAGATTTTTTTGGCTCCCGAGGACAGCGTTATTTCGGGGTAGAGGTGTACTTC